TCCTTTAGCTTCCCCCTACTGGTCCCAGTTCTGCCTTCTGGAACAGCACAAAACAAGGCTGCTCCCCACACCCCCTGACCACAAAGGTTTGAAGGCAGTTGCCAGCTTCAGGCTGAGTTCAAGACTGCCCCCATCAGCCTCTTAAGGACATTACTATCCCCCCCACCCATATCCATGCTTGCTTTGTATACAATCCAGGCATGATGATGTCGCCCTATGATAACACCCACATTACCTCTTATTAAGGGTATGTCATCAGCCAATGTGTCAGGGACTCTATTACACGCATTTTTTGTACTAATGCTAAGACTAACCCGATGACACAAATGCTGTTATTGCACCTATCTTGTGGATTGAGGAAACCGAGGCCTGGAGAAGCTAAGTCATCCGTGATGGTGTCCAAACTGAACTAGCACCTAGTCAACGAACCTGGTGTGGTTGATGTGCGTGTCTACGGAGTTAATAAGTGAATAGGGAGCCTGCGTGGCATACAAGCGGTTTGTAATTGATTGGCTGCTAACCTGAAGATTGGCAGTTCGAACCCAACCAGCTGCTCTGACAAACAGTGATTACAACCAAGAAAACCCTATGGAGCAGTTCTACTCTGTAACACATGGGGTCATCATGAGTCAGAACTGACCCAACAGCAATGGTTTATGGGAATCCAGTTTTGAAGCCCTCACCCTATGCCTGTCTCTGCCACATCATTCACTTCTGCAATTCTCTCACCTGACTTGGTACATGGAGGAGCTCATGAGGAGCCCCATGTGACTGGCCCACTTAGTAACTGTAGCCTGAGGCCTGGCTGTGGGTGCAGTGTTGAGGCAGGCTCTCCCATGTCCTCCTCAGACGTGTGGTACTGTGGCTGGAACTGAAGCCCTAGGTGCTGGGAAGATTGGGCATCACTGTGGGACACTGAGGATGGCACACAGGAGAGTGACCACAATGCATGGGTGCCTTTCCTTTGCCACGAAGAGGCTGAGAGCTTGTTGGGATGGGTTTTGATGCTCAGGGTTTCTAGGTTGGTGCCTGGAGGCAAAACTATATGGAGCACAACCTGGAGGGATGGAAACAGCCTTGGGGGTTGCCAGGAAGCCTCCTTACCCCCACTGTCACCTCTACAGGCAAGCCTCTGGAAGCTTAGCTTCCTCGGCCTCTACTACCTTCTCTGTCTAGCCTTTTCCCCAAGTCCTCCTATGGAGATATGGTCATGGGCTCTTCAAACGAGAAGGGCTCAGGAAGGGCCACACAATGCAGATAGCTCCTCAGCATTCACTTCTCATCCAGCCAGGATTCTAACTTGGCAGGGCTAGTCATAGGCTGGGTTTTAGTGAGGTGCAGAGCAGCTGGTCAGCTAAGGCCACAGGTGCTGAAGACCAGATAACATGGAAAACTCACAGGTTCTTAAACCTGGAGGGGCTTTAAGAGTTCCCAGTAGGTATCTCCTCATCCCTAGTCAAGTTAGTCACCTTGATAAGCTCCACTCTCCACAATGAGCCCCGATGGCTCAGGCTGTTCCCTCTCCCTTGCCTGGATAACTCCTACCAAGCCTTTAACACTCCACTGAGGCTTACCACCTCCAAGAAGCTTTCTGATAGCTCACCAGGCTGGATGTGGCTCTCCTGTTGCACCCTGGCTGAATCTTAACCTGGCTCTTTTCCAGCCCTCACGCATTCACTCAAATATGCCCTGCTCTGCGATCTGCAGAAGGCACTATGTGGGCAGTGCAAAACACCAGCCTCCAGGCCATAGATTTGCCACCGAGCAGCTGTATAACTTTGGACACAGTGCCCCTCAGTGAGCCTCAGTTTCCTTGCCTATAAAGTGGTGAGGGTTCCACAGCTCAGCTTAGCTTCAAAGGTTTGTGTGAGTCTCAACAAAGACAAACCGTTACCATGACCTGACCCCTATCTTCACAGCATCTCCCCCCACCAACACACACCCAAACCAGAAACCAAACCACCTGCGGCTGAATCAATTCCTACACATCACGACATTCCTACACATCACGACTCAACAGGACAGAGAATTAATTGCCATGGGGTTTCCAATACTGGATCTTTACAGAAGCACACTGTCACATCTTTCTGTTGTGGCGTGGCTGGTGGGTTCAAACCGATGACCTTTTCATTAGCAGCCGAGCACTTTACCCACGGCTCCACTAATGCACTTTGTTGCTGTATGGTGTTGAGTGGCTTCCAACTCATAGAGATCCTGTGAAAGGTTCTGAGAAATGCCTGGTGGGTTTGAAACACTGACCTTGTGGTTAGCAGTTTAGTGCTTATCCTATAGTAGCAAGCTCCTTGTTGTTGTTATGTGCCATCGAGTCGGTTCCGACCCATAGCGACCCTGTATAGGGTTTCCGAGGGTGTAAATCTTTACGGGAGTAGAAAGCCTCATCTTTCTCCCGCGGTGCAGCTGGTAGTTTCGAACTGCTGACCTTAAGGTTCGCAGCCCGATTCGTAACCACTACACTACCAGAGCTCCTTCCTTAGGGGGCTGAAATTGGGCAGGAGTACAGCCTGGAGGGGTGGAAACAGGCATGGACTTTAAACAAAACCAGCCGTGTAGGAGCTGTGCCTGACACCGCTGTAGAGAAGACATGCCAAGCGGCTCTGAGGCAGCAGAGCTTGAAGATTCTTGAAGTCATCAAGAAGCCACTAGTAGCATGGAGCAGGGGTGTAGAGAAAGACCCTGGGCTGGAGAAACAGCACCTAGATTTTGTTTGAAGTTGTTCTGTAACCTCAGCCAAGACCCTTCCCTTTTCTAGACTTTAACCTCTATCTGTACCTGGAGTGAGTCAGCCCATGTAGTATCCAAGGTCCAGTCCAACTCAGTCAGTGCTGACTTTACATGCCTGTCACAGAGCTTGGGGCAGAGGAGTCCAACTCAGGCTGTGTCAGGGAAAGAGAGAGAGGGAACCGGCAAGGGGCTCAGAAGGGCTAGGAGGCTGAGGACCCTGGGTTCACTGCAGTCTCCTCTTCCAGCCTCAGGAAGGGTTGGGCCTGAAGTGGGCTCCTCCCCCACTTTCCTCTGGGTGGAGGAAGTGTATGTACCCTTGGTTCGCTTTGCAAATTGAGAGTTTGACACAGGTGTACAGAACACAGGCTCTCAGATCCTCTGACACCATCCTGCTTACCCCCTCTCCATATTGTTGTTAAGTGCTGTCGAGTCAGTTCTGACCCATAGCGACCCTGTGTAGGGTTTCCAAGGAGCGTCTGGTGAGCTTGAACCACCGACCTTGTAGTTCAAACAGCTTTGCAGGCTGACGCATTAGCCCACAGCGCCACACTAGGACACCACATAGAGGGGGGAAACTGAGGCTCAGAGAGATGGGAAAGAGATTACAATCAGTATGTATCATGTTTATAGTAGAGTCAGGACTTAAACCCATGACTGATTGATGTCTGCCTGTGGTTACAAGTCTCAAGTCAGGCTCTGGGTTTGTCCTCCCCACCTCTGTCAACCATGGGGCCAAGTTTCCCTATTGGAGCCAGGGAAGACATGAGATTTTCTGGGTCTAAGCTTGGTGTGATTATTTGAACTGAGATGGGGGAAGCAAAGCACTGCATACCAAAACTAATCTCCTTGGATGAGACACAGAATAAGGAATAGATTCATCTAGGTTGGGGACCATGCTAGTTATCGAATAATCAGAGAAGTTCATGTTCAGGCATCAGTAAAGCAGGAGCAGAAAGAGACAAAGATTCAATTTCAATACACAATTACTAAATTTTGTCACAGTTTGGGGTCTCTCAGATGTGGCACCATAGGATAAGCCCTGGACCTCAAGCTTGGTTTGAACTACAAGGTTGGCGGTTCAAGCTCACCAGCCGCTCCTTGGAAACCCTATATAGGTCACTATGAGTTGGAACCAACTTGATGGCACTTAACAACAACAACAGGTCTTAAGGGGGAGTGGTCATAAAGTTGTGAGATCATCTGACTGTCAGGCAGGCAGGATTCTGACAGTGACCCTTTAGGATACAGTAGAATAATTCTGTAAGTTTTCTGAGAATTATTCTGTAAGGTTTTTCCCCTGCAGCTTGTGATTAGCAGCCCAACGCTTAACACTCCGTGGCACCCCATGCTTAACCCCACCCCATGCCACCAGCTCGCCAAATTTAGGTAAAAGGCCCAGGAGTTGGGGATCTGGTAGGGGACTTGCAATACTGCTCTTCTCTCTCTGGGCCACAGGTTACACCCTGTGGAGGTTGTCCTCCTGACTCCAGGCACTGGCCTTCTGGGCTTGTCAGACCCCAGGGGGGCAGCTGGTCCAAACTGCAAAAAACCTGAGTATAGTCCCCAGGGCCCTAACCCAGCACTGAGGGCCCTTGGGGGAGGAATAAGAAGGGAAGACAGGAATAAGAAGGGAAGAAGGTGGTACACCTTCTCCCTCTTGGGCCCCTCCCAGCTAATCCCACTATATCCTCAAAATGACCTGCTCTGAGGCCTGGAAAAAGCCCTAGAACTTTAAAACTTGTAAGAATTACTGAGACATCTTGTTAAAGGGCAGGTTCTGTTTCAGCAGGTCTGGGGTAGAGCCTGAGATTCTGCATTTTTAACATTCCCAGGGGGTGTGGATGCTACCAAGCCCGTGGACCACTCTGCGAGTAGCAAGGACCTAGATGTTATCTGCCTCTGAACCAGTAGGAAAGCCCAAGGAAGGCCCAGAGAGGTCAAGTCACTTGTTAGAGGCAACACAGCGAGCAGCCCCAGGCTGTAGGAATAGGGCACCTGCCATAGACACTTAGACATTCCCCCACCCGCGGCAGCTGGAATCAGCTGCCCTTCCCCAGCCCGGGGGCCGTGTCTGTAAACTCGGCTGCCCGGCGCGGCTCAGTCCGTAGCCGGGCAAGGAGCGGCGCCCGGCTGGTTCTTCCCAGCTTCAGGGCCGGCTTCTGTTTGTTTTCGGTTCGGGGCGCCAAGGGGCCCCTGCCGCGGAGCCGCTCCGTGCCCCCCCCCCCACTACGAAGGCAAACTTCGCCGGCGCCCTTTACCTTTTTGGGGGGTTTGCAGCAGTTCAGCTTGCTGCGCCCGCAGCCCATCCTCCTATGGGGGCTCCCGGACGCCGCCTCCCAACTCCGGGGCCCCCAGGGGACCCAGCGGTCCTGGTCCTACTGACCGTTCCGCGCCCGCTGGCCGGGGCTGCCGGCGAGACCCTGAAACTGAACCGGGAAGCGCAGACTTAGCCCGAGCTAGGGCGGCTGGGCGCCGTAAATACCCGAAGAGCAGAGCCTCTACTTAGTCCACGGGGTTCACGACGCTGCTGGCCTAGGCAGGTGACCGAAATCTTCGTAAATAATAGGAACCTCAGTTCTGGGCAAAAAAAAAAAGTCCGCATAGGCAACAGATACTTTACCAGGCCCTCAGCTGAGAAACGGAGAAGGGAAAAAAAACCCTCAAAAACTATTACTAAACACAATTAGGGCTGTTTTCTGTCCCAGCTGTTTTACACATATTATCTCTATTTCTTACCATATTATTGCAACAAAGATATTATATTCCTGATTTTACAAGTGAGGAAAATGAGACTCATGTGAAGACGTTTGTCTAAGTTCAGACTAGTATGTACCAGAACCCAAAAAGAGCATAGCTCTAACTTCAGAATCTAAGCTTTGGACGACTACCCTACAAATAAAATAATAATTCTAACCTTAATCATAATGCCACCTCACTTCTGGGTAGACAGTTCTTCCCAGTTTACCAGGATCCATAAGATCCATCTATATCCATCATGAGTAGAAAATTTCCCTCATAACAATCTTGAGAAGCAGACAGGCTAGATGCAAAGACAATTGTTGTTGTTAAGTATTGTGGAGTTGGTTCCGATTCATAGCGCCCTGTATAGGGTTTCTGAGGAGCAGTTGGTGGGTTTGAATTGCTGACATTATGGTTTGCAGTCCAGTGCTGATCCTACAGCGCCGCACCAATAAGCATCAGTAAAATGCCATGTCTGGGAAAAGGAACTTTTAGTTATCCTTGCTTCATTACTAGCTAAGGTTTCTGGAAGTGAAAATGCAGGAAGAAGAAATCAACTGTTGAAAAATAGTGTGTGTATGCATCTGTGTATACATTAGGAAATTAGAGCAAAGTTCAGACTCACTTGGAAAGGTCTGTTGATGAAAGGGACTATATTGGTTTCCTTGGAGCTGCCAGGAACCACAAACTAGATGGCTTGAAATAACAGAATTCTCTTGTAGTTCTAGAGGTTAGGAGTTCAAACCCAGGTTGTTGGCAGGGTCATTTCTCTAAAGGAGAATCTTTTCTTGTCTCTTACGGTTCTTGGTGGCCCCATGTGTTTCTTGATTTGTGATGGGATTACTCCAGTTTCTGCCTTCAGGTGACAATCTATCTTCTGTGTCTCTGTCTCTATGTTTCTTCTCTTCTAAGGACACCAGTCATATTGGTTTAGGGTCCATCATATCTCAGTGTGATCCCAACTTAACTATAATTGATGTTTTGTTGTTGTTGTTGTTATGTGCTGTTCCGATTCATAGTGAGCCCTCTGAACAACAGAACTAAGGACTACTGCCTGGTCCTGCACCATCCTCACCATTGTTATGTTTGAGCCCATTGTTGCTGCCACTGTGCCCATCCATCTTGTTGGGAGTCTTCCTCTTTTTCACTGACCCTCCATTTTTTCAACCATGATGTTCTTTTCCAGAGACTGGTCCCTTCTGACAACATGTTCAGAGAATGAGAAATGAAGTGTCATCATTCTCACGTCTAAGGAGCATTCTCTGGTTGTACGTCTTCCAAGACAGATTTGTTTGTCTGGCAGTCTGTGGTACTTTCAATATTCTTCTTCAGCACCACAATTCAAATGCATTCATTCTTCTCTGGTCTTCGTTATTCATTGGATAACTTTCACATGCACATAAGATGATTGAAAATGCTACGGACTTTAGTCCTCAAATTGACATCTTTGCTCTTGAACACTTTAAAGAGGTCTTGAGCCACAGATATGCCTAATGCAGTATGTCATTTAATTTCTTGACTGCTGTTTCTATAAATGTTGATGGTGGATACAAACAAAATAAAATCTTTGGCAGCTTCAATCATTTCTCCATTTATCATGTTGTTGTGTATTGCTCCAGTGATGAAGATTTTTGTTTTCTTTACAATGAGGTGCAACCCATACCAAATGAAGGCTGTGGTCTTTGATCTTCATCAGTATTTAAGTCCTCTTCTCTTTCAGCAATAGGAGCTCTGGTAGCGTAGTGGTTACGAATCGGGATGCGAACCTTAAGGTCAGCGGTTCGAAACTACCAGCCGCTCCGCGGGAGAAAGATGAGGCTTTCTACTCCCGTAAAGATTTACACCCTCGGAAACCCTGTACAGGGTCGCTATGGGTCGAAACTGACTCGACGGCACTTAACAACAACAACAACTCTTTCAGCAAGCAAAGTTGCATCATTTGCATATCACAGGTTGTTAATGAGTTTTCCTCCAATCCTGATGTCATGTTTTTCTTCATATAATCCAGCTTCTCCAACTATCTGCTCAGGAGTAGATTGACTATGTATGATGAAAGGCTACAGCCCTGGCATGCACCTTTCCTGATTTAAAACCATTTAGCTTCACCTTACTCTGTTCTAATGACTACGTCTTAATCTATGTTCAAGTTCTTCATGAGCACAGTAAGTGTTCTAGAATATCCACTCTTTTCAGTGTTGCCAATAAAACATCAAGAAAGCACAAGCAAACATCAATAAAGTACAAGTAAACATCTTCCTGGTATTGTGTGCTTTTGGCTAAGATCCATCTAATGTCAGCAGTGATATCTCTCAATCCATGTCCTTTTCTGAATTGGGCTTGAATTTCTGGCAGCTTCTTTTTAATGTACTGTTACAACCATTTTTTATGGTGTTTCCAAGTAAGTCCACATTCACAAATACTAGGTGCTAAGGCTTGAATATATCTTTTTGGAGACAAAATCCAGCCCATAATAGGAACTTAAACTCATGAATGGGGAAAGAAAACAACCCACAAAATAAATTTCCCTTCTTCAGAGCATAAGGCCAATTGTGCTGTTGTTAAGTACCATTCAATTGGTTCCGACTCATAGTGATTCTATGTAGGATTTCCTACAAGCAGTTGGTGGGTTTGAACTGCTGACCTTGTCATTTGCAATCCAGTGCTGATCCTCAAGCACCACGCCAGGAGTCCGATTGTAGAAGGTTTCTAAGAAAGTCAACTAAGAAATAGGTGCTATTAGCAATTGTTGTTATTATTAAGTGCCGTGGAGTTGGTGGTTCCAACCCATAGTGACCCTGTATAGGGTTTCTGAGGAGTGGCTGGTGAGTTTGAACCACCAACCTTGTGGTTCAAACTGACCTTGTGGTCCAGCGCTTATCCTACAGTGCCACATCAGCACTCCCTATTTGAAGGTAAGATATACAGGACTGTGGGCTAACAAAGTATAAAGGTAACTTTTTAGAATGTAAATTCTCAGGCCTTGCATTAGACCTACAGATATAAATACGAAGGGTGAGGCCCAGAAGTCTATAGTTTAATAAGCCATTCTGGTGGTTCTGATGCACATGTTGTTGTTGTTAAGTGCTGTCGAGTCGGTTCTGACCCATAGCAACCCTGAACAGGGTTTCCGAGGCTGTAAATCTTTACGGGAGCAGAAAGCCTCATCTTTCTCCTGCAGAGCAGCTGGTAGTTGTCCATCATGGGTGACCCTGCTGGTATTTAAAATACCTGTGACATAACTTCCAGAATCACAGCAACTCACAAGCTACCACAGCATGACAAACTGACAGACGAGTTATTGAAGGATTCTCTGGACAAATTATTGAATGATACAAAAAGCATCAAAAGAAGATGGAGATGAATACACAGAGTCACTGTACCAAAAGGAAATTGTTCAACCATTTCAAGAGGTAATAGCATATGATCAAGAGCCAATGATACTGAAGGAAGAAGTCCAAGGTACATTGAAGGAATTGACAAAGAACAAGGCACCAGGAATTGATGGAATAAAAATTGAAATCTTTCAAGAAAGTGATGCCTGACCCCAGCCATGGTATTTTCAATAACTTCATATGCATGTGAAAGCTGTACAATGAATAAGGAAGATCATAGAAGAATTGATGCTTTTGAGATATGGTGCTGGAGGAGAATATTGAAAGTGCCATGGGCTGCCGAAAGAACCAATAGATCTGTGTTGGAAGAAGTGAAGCCAGAGTGCTCCTTGGAGGCCAGCATGGCCAAACCTTGTCTCTCATACTTTGGGCATATTGTCAGAAGGGACTAGTCATTGGAGAAGAATATCATGTTTGGTAAGGTGAAGGGTCAGAGAAAAGAGTGAGATGGATTGGCAAAGTGGCAATATCAGTGGAACAATTGTGAGGTTGGCCTAGGACCGGGCAGTGTTTTGTTCTGTTGTGCCTAGGGTCACTATGAGTCAGTACTGACTCGATGGTACCTAACAATAACAACCACAACCATAAAAATAGATCACCATACCACCAAAATGCTGATAAAGAAGAATATATATTTTTAAATGTTACAAAGTAACATATCCATTTAAATTAAAAAAAAAAAGTAATAGTGATTACCTCTAGAAATGTAATACATAACTAATTGCTGCCATGAACAATTGACTCCTTTGCCATAGACCAGAAGTACTGATTCATGCCAGGTTGCCATTACTGAATGCTTTTATTACAGATTCCGCAAAAGAATCTTGGGCAAAAAGGAGTGGGGTGGGGGTGTGTGGGTGGGTGGTGGAAGGAGAGAATTTCAGATTCTTCATGGAATACAGAATTCCTGGGACCACTGGGGCTAGATGAGTGAAATTTAAAACCAAAAGTAGCCCCAGAAGTCTTCTTTGAACCAAAAAGTAATTGATCTTAATTCACAAAGCATATCTGTTTTGAGCATTGTACTTTTTAAAAGAAGTATCTAGATGGGATCAAATTGACAAATGGCAACTTGAAAGGTTAGATGGCAAGCTTGGGGTGGGGACAGTGATTTTATGTTAATGGGGAGGAAGAACCTGGAAAAGGAGGGTGAGAAGGGTTGTACAACTTGAACGATGTCATCAGTATCACTGAATTGTACATGTAGACATTGTAAATTGGTGTATGTTCGGTTGTTCTCAAGAACAACAGCAACATTACAATAAAAGTTTTTAAAACAGTGGTTACCG